TACACATCTGGAGAAATAAAACAAAATTGTTTAAAAAAAATTTTTAAAAAAGTATTGGGTGCGGTCCTCATGGTCGTCGTTTAGTTCAGGAGAGTGAGCTATCTTTTAAATCATGCAGGCAGGATATGTGGTTGACCTGCATGGTTTAAAAGATAGCTCACTCTTCTGAACTAAACTGGACCGCCCCCAATACACGCACACCTACACACACACACACAATATATGTCTGTTTATTGGTGTTGGAAAATGGAACCGTATGAGGTGAGACGAGGATTGTGCTTCGGTACGTGTGCATGCCAATGTAGGGATCAACAAAATAAGCAATCTTCGTCATGTTACCATACTTGATGTTTGTTTATTTGTTTGTTTGTTTGTTTGTTCTATTTATTTATTCACCATGTAAAATAAATATTTACAGATAATAAAATTCAGTGGGTAACAAATCTCCACAAAAATAAATAGGTTGTATATGAGTCATTCTTTTCAAATAAACGAACAGCGGTGTAATGATAGGGAATATGATATTGATAAACACGTGTTATGTAAGTCTTTAATTAAATCAGTTACAGTCATGACAGGTAGAAAGAGAAATCAACTTGGCGATAATAATATTGAAACTAAAAATAAGGTAATTTTCCCAAATATTACATACCGTGAACGAGTTTTTTTTTTGTCAAGCACTTATTTTGTCCACTTCATTACTGCAGTAAAGACGTCATCTTGGGAGCACCGTAATCCGTTTTTCTAGGCTCTCGTACAAAAGGTCCTGGGTTCGATCCTTACTCGGTGCTTTCAACGAGAAGTCATGTATATAAATACATATCATTTTTCTTTTAATTGTTGGTGATAATAGTCAAAATGTATTGCCATTAAAACACTAACCAACAACACTCGGTGCTAATACACCACCTGGACAAAATGGGTTACCCACATCTGTCCCTCTCGACCCAGGGGGGGGGGGGTGTTTCACAAAGATCCTAAGTAGAACTTAACTCTAAGTCGGACTTAAAAATTATGGAGAGCCATTTGTAGCCTTAAAATGAAATGTATTCAAAAGCAGAAATTGAAGTATTTTAGACATTTCATATATTCCACATCAAGAACACGAAATCTCCTTGATAATAGAAAATATGAATAATTTGAATCAACATTTCATGCTTTCTCAAATAACTTTTACAAAATATTTTCAAAGATACTGACGGCTTTCCATAATTGCTAAGTCCAATTTAGAGATAAGTTTAACTTGGGATCTTTGTGAAACATCCCCAGATGGAATAAAAGGGTACAAGGCAACCCGGTAATCATAATAATAATTGCAGGACATGTAATAAAGAAGAGCACCTTGTTTTCACGAAGTGACGGTAGTGAGGAAAATCGTAACGCAAAGTGAATGCAATTTTTTTTCACTACCGTCACTTCGTGAAAACAGCGATGAGGCGACCCCTGGTAAATAGGGCAATCCTCTTCGCACTCGTGAGGAGAGAGAGAAAAGGCATTCAGAGTTTTATTTGATGTTTATTTGGATTATTACAACCCCACAAAAAAGAAAGAAAGAAAGAAAAAAATAGCTTTGAAATTATTGGGTCTTTGTATAAACCCAACTATGGTGACTTATATAATATTTGAGGTTACGTAAATTTGCGGATTCAAAAGAGTTACTTGAATTAAAAAATAGTGCAGTCACATTGAACTTTGGAACTGTAAATGAAAGACATTCAACCATGAATAACAAAATAATCAGGTATGAAATGGTCCATCTCTCCGAAATTGCACTGTCATAAAGGCTGGAAGAGTTTCAATCTCCCACATGTTTCATGTGCACAAAAAATGGAGAGTTGTATCGAAATTGGATTTCAGTCATTAATAACATGACCATTGAAAATCATTTGTCAAATGAGATTTCATAAGGAACTTTCTAACAATCGTAACTCTCTTGTTAAATCATCTCTTACCTTTACATGAGGCTAGCAAAATAATGATTTAAACAACATTTCTGATAATGAAAGCGTCCCTTTTCAGCGCGTGAATGTAAGATATAACTTTATATCTAACAATCAAAAAGCTGTTATAATTCCAAAATAATTATTTATTTCAAGTTTAAAATCAATTGATTAAAGATCTTTTTCTATAATATATATTTACCCCCCCCCTCTCCCTCTCTCTTGCTCGCTCTCTCTCTCTCTCTCTCTCTCTGTGCTATCTTCCAATTCACTATGATACACAACTCTTCATTCTTTTTACTTTTTTCTTTTTACTCTTAAAACTGTTACCAAGATAAGCATGAAATGAGATTGTTGGACCCAAATCCTTACCAAACCCTTCATATCGAATAACGATCTTATTATGAATATCAGTGATATTGATTATTGGCATTTATTGCTCATTCATTTGTCATCATTATCGTCATCATATTTTCAAACTTCAAAACATCACAGCAAGCAAGGTAACTTGTTATATATTTTGGGAATAATCCTGATTGTACAATTAAATACAAAAGGAAACAATAGAAACACGTTCAATTTTGATTACTTCATTTTATTGCACTGTGAAATCGCATACATCACATTTTCTCCGAATACAAGAACACTTAACGTCGTATGATACTCAAAGCAGAAAGCTATAGGCACAGATGTATTTAGGCACTCTATGTCAATCTTAAAATTTGAAATCACATTGCACAAAATAGTTTGCATTACAGCTATACATTCATCATGATTGTGGAAGATTCATGTTTATGTCTTTTTATTTACAAGGAAATGAATGATATATATAAAACTTACAAAATACGACACCTCTTTTATTTTTGGACTCCTATGTAAAGTCGGATTTCAATGTCAGCCAAGTCAATAAAAAAATTAAAAACACCAACAAATATAAGGCGAAAATGCGGGGAGTTCTAAGTGTACTGACTCCCCTGTGACTAAAAGCAGAAAAAACTCAGTTTTCGGGGGGAGCTGCTTTTGAAAAACAAAAACAAAACAAAACAAATAACAAATCCCCCGCAAGTTATTGTATAAGATATAATGCAGAAGGTAAAATGGATAGATGCGATGTGAACCCTGCTGGAAAGAACACACTCATTCACACTCACTCACACTCATTCACAGTGTGAATCACAGTGTGAATCACAGTGTGAATCACAGTGTGAATCACAGTGTGCTCCATAATGTTAAATTGGGCGCGTTTTCACAATGTGGTTCACAGTGTGGATAACCGGAAAAGGAAAGAACACACTCATTCACACTCATTCACAGTGTGAATCACACAGTGTTTCACACTGTGAATCACAGTGTGCTCCACAATGTTAAATTGGGCGCGTTTTCACATTGTTGATCACAGTGTGGATAACCGGAAAAGGAAAGAACACACTCATTCACAGTGTGAATTACACTGTGTTTCACACTGTGTTCACAGTGTGAACTGTGATTTCACACTGTGATTCACACTGTGAATGAGTGTGAATGAGTGTGTTCTTTCCAGCAGGGAAGAACAATAAACAGCTTTCTTATCACGTATAGTAGGTCTTTACAGCATATTTTTGTAATCGTAATTAAAAGAAGTTTTATCATGAAGGTAGTGACTTATATATATATTTTTTTTTACATAAATCATCTGAGCAAACACGAAATATTGATACATATTTATACAAAATTTGCTTTCGGTGAGGCTTGTTATTTCAATTTCGTTTGTAATGCAAAATTAACTTTCCTGAGTATCAGAAGCCAGTGGCAAAAATACAATGTCTCAACTCAACACAATATTATTTTAAAATCAAGAATTTGGAGAGATATACGGCAGACTTATATTTGTGATAAGTCAACTAAATACAAAATGCCAACAGTCTTAAAACGGTCGATTCATTGCAAAAGAATGCTGTAATTTGTGTATCTAGCTGTTTTCTTGAACAATAATTTCTTCAGTTTTTTTAGCAAGGGTTATTTTCTAAAGATAAAATATGACAGTGTTCCAGCACTCAATACATTCATAACGATAAGTGGAATCAAATATTATCGAATAGCAATTACTATTTACAAGTATATTACGTAATATAATTACAATAAAATGAACATTCACATTACACATTAATCGATAATTCATTAATAATGGCATCCAAGCAATTTTAAAACCTCTTCTTGTTTTGTTACAGCGGTTTGAGCATGTAAACAGCAAATAAATATTGCACAGTAAATATTACCATGTTTTTTTTTAATATTTTCGGCTACTTTAAAGGTACTATGTCCCATTTGCAGGCCAAAAAAATGAAAAAGTTAAATTCCAACTGCATTTGAAAGATAATACCAATTTAGAACTTCCCTAAAAAAGGTGGGGCTTGAAAATGTCTTCAAGTGGGAAAATAACGACTATTAGTTGTCAAATCGACTTTAGGGCTATAGAGCCCAAAAGTAATAGTCTTGATTTCAGACAATTGTACCGAATGGTCATACGTTTTATGCTGCCAAAAAATTTAATCAGTTTAATCTTGGCCATCACAAGAAGTGGGTTATTGATGTAGACAAATGCTCATGTACCCTTTACAACTCTTTTCATTTAAGTGCAATGTACAATTACCAAAGAAGAAAAAAGCCAGTCAGTCACTCAATAGTGTCTGACAGTGAAGTCTAGCAAGTAAACGGGTTTCCTTGCATAATTTGAATATGAGGACACTGCTAACGTTTAAACTTCACAGATAGGACATACATGACATATTCATAATTCCTGCAAAGTTCTACAGCATTTGAGGTTGGCTGCAAAAGGGACATAGTGCCTTTAAGATGACTTATAGTAATGGCCACACTCTTATAATGCCTAATGAGATACAGATTTAACATAATTACCAATTTGATAAAATCAGGATATACATGTATCAGCTTCAACTGACATTCTTAAATTACTTTTACATGCTTTATACGATCCAAATGAACCGCAAAATTTCATCAGTGAGTTTGTCTATGTGACACCCGTAATTGTGTCTTTTCGATGATAATACCGTGGGTTTTTTCGTTCTCATAGTGTTGAACTCTTCTCCAAATTATCTTCTTATTGCACAAGCTTTTCTTCTACCGGCCGATCATAATTTAAAATGTTCCCCTTGTTTCTTTTCCTTTTCATCCGTATTTCATTTCAGATCATCCAAATAACCGTTCCTTTACCCCCAGTCCCTTCTTCCCCACCCCACTTTCGCTCTCTCCTTAGTTAATAATAATATAATATTCAGCTTTTATATAGCGCTTAATACATCTCGGACGTTTCTAAGCGCTTTACAGATTTACTATTACCCTGGTCGTTGGGTTCAGTGTTTGTCCGAACACAGTGTGTGTACACAACTTCTCCACTCCCTGGGGAGCATTCCAGCCAGGCGTTACTTGACGCTCACAAACTGTTTAACCAACAATGTCGGTCGCATCCTACCGGGTACCCATTTTAACAGCCGGGTGAAGAGTAGCAACAGTATAGGTGAATATCTTGCCAAAGTGAGATGGTTACTTCCCTTGTTCGGAATCCCAATAGATCTTCTGCCCTCTCTCTATATACCCCTTATCCTTCTCTTCTCTTCACCTACTCTACGGTTCCCCCTCCTTAGATGGTCGCCTCCCTTGTTCTGAACCTCTTCCACCTTGACGGACGCTTCTTGATAGGTTCACCATTCATGATGGTCTCCACCTGTAGTGTTGAAGATAGCCAGGATAAAGGGTGCCATGCGAGTGGCAGGAAAGGAAATGAGAGGAAAATTGGTCATTATGTGAAAGGTTTCGGCGCTGGGATTTCACTGAGTGCGGTGCAGGGGTGTTTCAAGGGGCACGGGTCTCAACAACAATAACAAATAAAAAATTTGTCACATTTTAATGAACCGTCATATTAGGTGTCCGAAATCTCAGACAAGCAGAATAAATAAATAAATATGTAAATAAAAGGGTATTGGGGGCCGGGGTTGGGGACATGACTGTATAGATAATAAAAGGGGGCACCCCCCCCCTCCCTGTCCCGCAACGTTGCCTCCTGTATTTACTTTCAAAACCCCTAATACATTGCAATTTAAACGAGACTGTTATGGAACTTTTAGATAAACTAATCATATCGTGAATGTTACAATTATTTTTAAGTTCCAACGTCTCAATACTCTCACAACTGAAGAGCACTTGATTAAAAAGTACCATCTTTTTATTTGGTTTCGAGCTTGGGTATCTAAGCTTAATTTAAACTTCGGATGGATACACATCATCCACCATATAGCTCGTTTCTTGCAAACTTTTCGGCCACCACGATATTGCACTAGTTATTTTCATTCGATAACGGCTTCTATTTTCAGCCTGGATGAGGCAAATTGAAGAAGGTCGAACATTTGCAATGAGCCATTTACAGAGGGATATGTTTGTGCAGAGGGAGGTATAACGGTTTTGGTTGCCGTGCAGAATTTAGTAGATGAATGGATATCGAGCGGTCGTCATTATGGATTCATGTTTTATTTCAATTATGTTAATGATAACAAGGGTAAGTGTAATGGTGGTGTGATGAGAAGAGGAATAAAGTGGTGACATGGAATGGCGTATAATAATAACATTCGTCATGTAAACACGAAACACATAATCATCATAATGGGTTGATGGAATCAATGATGTTGTTTTTTCAATTCGGAGAACGACGAGAGAAGATATTATTTCTAAAGGACAGTGTGTTTTATGAATATTGAAAATTTATAAATATTATCAATAATTTTAATATAATGACGAAGTAGAATGAGCTCTAACTTAATTGGTATGCTTCAATTCAGGATTTCCCCTTTCCCATGTGCGCCAGTTTTTTTGTTTAATTTAATCCAAGTTTATTTATAAGTACCCTTTGTTTATTTGTTTTTATCATTTAACTGCCCCCCCCCCCCTTCCTCATGCATGTCACCATTCTGTAACACCTTTTAAACACTACTGGGCCAGAAGGGATTAGACCACACAGCGAGGTCACTGACAGGTGGCTATCTCATTAACTCAGCTCTCAACTAAAATACGAAAAAGAGGATCATGGGGGACCAACAGGCACCGATTGGGGAAGTTTTCTATATAGAGGGAGCAAGTAGCTACAAGTAGGACAGTGGGGCTTTAACTCATCTTAACGACTCATTTCATCTGTTAATAACACGTCAAAGAGAATGAGATTTGCAGAAAAACAGACCTTGGCTGAAGCAAGTGTTCCGTGTTGAAATGAAATAAAATGAATGAAATGAATGAAAAGCAGGCTTACCTGTAGTCGGATGTTCTGAAGTGATAGCCAGGCATCGTGAACGGTCATATAGAATAGTTCTTTCTTGATCGTACTTAGGCAGGACAAAGATTGCATCACGTGATCTGGAGATGAAAAATTAAATCAAACATGTGATTAGATTCTAATCATCTTACGTATAAACTGAGATTCAAATAAGAATTTTGGTTTGAAATTTCCAGATTGGTAAAATCAACGTAGTGTTTCATACAATATTTTTTGTAGATATGATTGTTAAACCTAATGTTATACGAGGCAATGGAAAATGCCCCAAAAGACTCGATTTGCCATTTGCTATGAGCTTCAATCTAGTTCGTCCTTCTTAAAAGAGGAGGACGAATAATAAGAATTAAATGAAATCCTCAAATGAAAATGACATTTGATAAACTAATCAAATTACAAATGAGGAGATGACCATTTTCATCATTTGGTAAATCAAGTGCGTGGATTCGGAGGTGGCTTTTAAAGGCCAATCTGGTCCCTTAGTTTTCTTTGACATTGAGCGAAATTTGAATTATTATAATTTTTTTTATTATTTTTTATTATTATTATTATTATTATTATTATTATTTATTTTATTTATTTATTTATTTATTTTATTAATTTTTTTTTAATTTTTTAATTTTTTTTTTTTTTTTTTTTTGGGGGGGGGTATCTTCTCGAAAATGTTATCTTACTAACCTGAGCAGCCACTTAGCACAACACACACGCCAACAGCTTTGAAGTCTTTGACTAAGGCGGCCATCGTCTTAGCTCCCATCGAGTCAACGAAGCCGAAGTGACCGCAGTCGATGATGATGGCTCTGATCTTCAAGTTGTGTTCTCGGACTTGCTCCTGCGAGGGGCGGGGGGGGGATAGTAAGTATAGACATCATTAGGTACACATTGCTTATGAAAAAGATTCCCTACAGGTTAATCCATAGCAGTTCCGACTTTACTAGAGGTCAATCGGATTTTCCTCCTCAAATTGCTAATGATTATTTGTTTATTTTACTCCTCATAGTACAAGACCCCAGCCCCCCCCCCCCCCAAAAAAAAAAGTGCCATTCTATAACGAAAATAGTGACGATTAAGTTTTGCTCAGCTTTGCCAATTTAGAGACTTTAATGCTTAAGAATTAATTATAACATTCTTACTATTTACTTCAAACAAAAAACATGAACTCGAAATTATCAATGATTTTTTTTCTTTCTTTCTCTTTCCATTACGTAAATGATTAATTAAACTGTCCTTTGAAAAGGGTAATGAGAAGAAAAGATCTATAATTTAAATAAACTGGGCCCCGTTTTACAAAGAGTTGCGATCGATCCAAATCAATCGAAAGTCCACCAAGCGATTGCAAGTTTGCAGGCTCATATCTCTTATATACATAGTTGCGATTGATATCAGTCGCAAATAAGTTGCGATTGATATCAACTCCTTGTAAGACGGGGCCCTGGTTTGTTACAAGACAAAATAATGTCACAAGACAAAATAATGTCACAAGACAAAATAATGTCACAAGACAAAATAATGTCACAAGACAAAATAATGTCACAAGACAAAATAATGTCACAAGACAAAATAATGTCATAAGACAAAATAATGTCATAAGACAAAACAATGTCACAAGACAAAATAATGTCATAAGACAAAACAATGTCATAAGACAAAATAATGTCAAAAGACAAAATAATGTCATAAGACAAAATAATGTCACAAGACAAAATAATGTCACAAGACAAAATAATGTCACAAGACAAAATAATGTCATAAGACAAAATAATGTCATAAGACAAAACAATGTCACAAGACAAAATAATGTCACAAGACAAAATAATGTCACAAGACAAAACAATGTCACAAGACAAAACAATGTCACAAGACAAAATAATGTCACAAGACAAACAATGTCACAAGACAAAATAATGTCACAAGACAAAATAATGTCACAAGACAAAACAATGTCACAAGACAAAACAATGTCACAAGACAAAATAATGTCACAAGACAAAATAATGTCATAAGACAAAATAATGTCACAAGACAAAACAATGTCACAAGACTTAAGCCATGCATACCTCGTTTGCACCGGTCAGTTCAATGATGTCAATGGGTACGTCTTCGTTTTCCGTCTTCTTCTGGATCTTCTTGTCTTTGGCCTGTGCTTTCTGGATCTTGACCAGCACCTTAACCGGGTTGATGTCCACGGCATCGTAGACATGGTTGCGGAACATCTCGGCATTGGCAAAGTACAATGAGCCCTGCATCTGGACGATCTTGACTTGGTCGTACTCTTTGGCCTGTATCGAAGAAATTGAACAATGTTGTCTGATGATTTGATTTAAATAACAAGACGATGCATCGTTCACTTTTTAAACGTATTGTTTTTGTTTTTTTTGTTTTCTTTTTTTTTTTTGGGGGGGGGAGTCATTTTCGTTTAATTTTATGAGAATCATTTATTTCATTTTAGAGCATTTGAATGAAATGGAGAGAGAGAGAGGGAGAGAGAGAGAGAGAGAGCGAAAGAAGGGGAATGGGGTGACGGAGGAAGAGAGGGAAGAAGAGAGGAATTAAATGTATCGTTAACTTAGAACACTATCTACACACCCAACACCACTGTACTATCTCGACAGGATCAAACTAAAATAATATTCTTGTCGTCTTGGGTATCGTCCAAAAATACAGTTCTGAAAATGATATTCATCTGATACAGTAAGATTACAAAAAGGGTAACAATGCTGGAGGAAGGGATCGAGATAATCCTTATATTGTTTTGCATTCAGAGAGGAAGAGGGGTGACGAAAGGGGGAGGGGTAGAGAAGAGAGGTAGGAAGCAGGATAGAGAGGGGGAGAAAACTAGAGGTGCACATGAACATATTTATATTTGAGAGTTAGAGTCGACGCTTTTCAGAATATAGATCAAACGTTTTGTATCTTTCTCTTAAAGCCACACTGTCCTACGTGTAGCTACTTGATCCCTTTATATAGAAAACTTCCCCAATCGGTGCCTGTTGGTCCCCCATTATCCTCTTTTTCTCATGTAATAGTTGAGAGCTGAGTTAATGAGATAGCCACCTGTCCGTGACCTCGCTGTGTGGTCTAATCCCTACTGGCCCAGTAGTATTGACGGTCTTTAATCAATTTGTGATATGGCATGTTAAACCTCATCTAATGCTACACATTTCGGACCCGAAACAAATTCTCTATCCCATTTCTAAATCGGAGATAAATGTGTCACGGTGTATTGCTGTATACAAGCTAGAAGCGTAAGTTTCAATTCTTGTTGTTGTATAAAAATGAAGTAAATTGATAAAGACAAGACGACAATCATTGACAAGATGTCTTACATTTGGGTATCGCTTGATGTTCTTGTAGAGTTCGGTTCCGTTGACGTTACCCCTGGTGGAGAAGTGTGGTGTTTGTGTTCTGACCACGGTGACGAAGAGGGCGACGATGACGCCGACTCCGAGACCGAGATCGACTCCGATGAAGACCACAGCGGCCCAGGTAGAAACCCAGATGATCTGTAAAGAAATTATTTGGGATGTTGGATGGAGGAGGGGATAATTTTTCTCTTTTCTGTTTATTTTCTATAATTATTGATTGTCTGTAAATCATTTGCAAAATCAATATAACTTCAACCTGAAATTGATTTTCGCCGATAAAAAATCGTAGATTTGATTAGTTTGATGTGCATGGAAAGTTATTTTCAGTTATTTGAAATATCAAAACGCATGATTATTGACCACCTATCGACTTTGATATCGCAACGTCGTAATCAATGGAGTATGACAAATTTACTTTGGATGTCTTTTATAACATTGCTTTCTTTTCAATACAGTTTAAAATTTAACATCTGAACTGAGAATAAAGATAATGTGATTCATACAACAGGAATGTTATCTTCTTATCTCATTTATTTGAAAATTGAAGGATTCAAACCTTGACTAAAATTACTATCTTTGAATACGATAGGATTAATAACTCAGTAAAAAATACTTACGAAATCGTATTTGGAATATCGGAACAAGAAATGCAGATCCCTGAACTGAAGGAACATGCCTTTTAGACCAGCACAGATGATGGCTGCCAGCACAGACTGGAACAAAAAAGGAAAGTATGATATTTGTTATACAAATTTTGATGATAAGAATATTTCAAAATCATTATTACATAATCTTCGATTCTCTATTGAAGGATGAGTGACTAATTGAGGAAGTACAGATATTTTCAAACGTCAGATAACGACCATAGGTTATACCCAGGATAACGACCTGCAAAAAGATTCTTGTCATCTCTGTTTGACGGTCTAGTAAATGCCCACTTCAGCAGCAGCTACAACAATGACGCAACAGCGGTGTACAGGTAAAATCGGAAGAGTTTGGCAGTGGTGAAGAGGCTCAAGGGTTATGGGGCAAGGGGCACATTCCCTCTCCTTAATTATTGAATGACGAAAAGAAATAAAAGAGGTGAGAAAAGAGAAAAGGTGAAAGGGGCAAGCAAGGCAATGTAAAAAAAAATATCTTGAATCTCACCCCATTCAACGGCCTTGTTCTTGTGCGTTTCACTCACGTTTTAATAAGACCTGTGTTTGCACCCCACCCCCCCCCCCCTCCCCCAGGTCGTCAGTGCCCTTTGCAGGCTAGATCCCTGGTTATGCCACTATGTTATGATATGAGTTTACTTACCTTAGGAAGAGGTTCGAACCATGGAGCCATGAAGAGCAATACCAACATGACCATAGTAGATGAAACCAGGGTGACGATCTGAACAAGAGAGAAAAAATAGAATAGTTGTTCAGCTTTATCCTTTATGTTATATTTTTCTCATGGTCTTGCAATCGGCAACCTCGTATCCAAACACGGTATTTGATTGAAACAGACAGAAATGGGGAAACCCGTTTTTATTCATCAAAGCTGCATGGGTAAATATTTGAAATCTCTTTTCATACGTAAGGGGTTTAAACGTGACATTTTAGATATTATAATGATTGAATAATATTTAGGATTCACCGATTTCTCGTTTAATTCACCTTGTTTTTAGATTACATATATTATTTTAAAGATGATATCAGCTAGGGAAATAAGTGAATATAAAATACCTGCGTCTTTCCTCCGACAGCTTCTTGTATAGATGTACGAGCAAGAGCTCCACAGCAGACAAAACAATGGAAGAACGATGAGACAATGTTCGAGACTCCATATGACAACATTTCCTGTTTAGGTTAATAAAACAAATGTGGAAAATTTAATTGGTTATAGCTCATTATCTACATTTTCAAATGCCAGTTCATTCTATTTTGTTATGAATTTCGAAAATGATTTAATTAGACTATTGAAGACTTTCATGGCTCCAAATCTCACTTTGACAAAGGAGGGGGGGGGGGGGTAATTGTTGAATAGATTAGAAACTTAATACAAGTTTTCTACAATGAAATATTGTTTTCGCAATGGTAAAAATGCTACTTCATCAGTTCATCACATTGTATCTTGGAGTTGCCAAGAATAGTTCAAAAGCTATTCTGGTCGTGACTCATGGAATATCCGCTAAATTGCTCACAGAGGAGAGGAAATTGGAATAATTGAGAAACCGAGAGCGGATTGAAAGATGATACCATTGTAAGAGCTTGATTTGGATAGGACTGTGTCACGTGATCCGTTTTTTTTATTTTATGTCTATTTCTGGAGGCATTGTTGTGAAGAAACATGTGGTATCAAGAAATATGGGAATGTACAGGGGTTTATGACAATGATGACGGTGCAAGAATTTCCTCTTTGTTTTATGGTGACTGCTCCGGGCTTTATTTCGTCAAAGATTTAGGAATATGATTGCACAGGTTAGGTTTAAGGTCAGAACATGAGGTTTGGGATTCGGAATTGTACAGGATAATGACCCAAGAGCAATTATATCGACTAGATAATTCATCTAGAATACGTTTTAAATGTAATATAACTGACAAGTTGATTTTCTCTAATGAAGTGAATCAATTATTCTTATTTTTCTACTTCCCTCGCTAGTATTCTGTTTACCTATTATAGCTTTATAGTCATGACATTCTATTTCTCTTTGTCTTAGTTATCTGTGCTTATTTATCTATCTCTTAAATTGTGCACTGGCAGACCCATGGGAACACGGGGGTGGGCTCACGTGCTCCCGGGCAAAACACAGTGAGCTGAATTAGTACACATCGAATACAGAAAGAAAATGTACCCCCTTTATGTGCTCTTAGACAAAATCTCATATCCAAAGGCACCTGGAAAATGTTGACAATATTCTTATTTATTTTATAGTTTTTTCTCCATACCTCGTTTTCATTGATTATAACTTTTTAACGTTCGTTTTACCTGGTTTGCATCGATTTCGTAGTTGTTCCTGGTAGCGAAGGTCTTCGAGAGTGACACGGACAGGGCAAAGGCGACGATGGCGATGGCGAAACTGTCACCAATCAGCGAACCGAAGAGAGTGCCGAACATGCTTGGGATACGTGGGGCAGGGAAACTGAAATATAAACAAAGAAATTATGTCGAATATTTAATACTGCAGATACTATATTTACTCATTGTTTAGCGATTGGAAGGGTCAACAAACCATTTCATGTTCTGAGATGTCTTTTTCCCGATATAATGAGTTTTGAAATTTGCCGATGAAACACCAGATTATTACCCCAAACCCACAAAAAGACAGTGGAAGTTATCGACAATGATTATGGATTTACCGGGAGAAATTCAAATGTGTATGTCCGTGAGTGAGAGGGGGGGGGGGGGAGGAGGGGGTTGTCACTGCAAATGAGCGGTGCCCATCTTATTCTTCCAAAACAATTTCATGATGAAATGTATAATATCTATGCAATGATTATCCATACCCTGTTTTGATCTCGAAGATAGTGTCCACACCATAGCGACTGTGCATGAAGGCGAATTTGGATACAATGATGGAGATGGCGACCTGAATTTTGAAGAAAAAAAGGACAACAAGGAATTGATATCATTTCTCAAGAATACAATCATCACACTTCATTATACTGCAAGAAAACATTGACCTAACTTTTGTTGTTAACCTTAATCGCTTTAATAAAACACTACAATCCAGCAGAAATAGTTTACAATCGCAATAGTTTTATTCACAACGTTTAATATTCATGATACAGTAGACACAAGCTTGTTTGTAGAGGGCCTATTTTTTTTTTAATCCGATTTTTTTTCTTCTTTTTTCTCCATCAACCATTTAAATAAATGTTGACCTAATATTTTAAAAAAAAGTTCGTCAAGACTAAAATACTTTACTATAATACTTGACATGTCGAAATAACACGTGAAATAGCACGCGGTATTTAGGGTACACACCTTTCTTCCCGATCCCGCGATAAATCTAATTTTCTGAGCACGGAAGTATCACGTTTCTCTCATGTCGATCTTTCAATTAAAGCAGAGAGAAAATATCCTCCGCAGAACATGATTTTAACGCGCTTAAATTGAGCTGAAATATTAAATTTGAACGTCTACCACGTGCTTGGGGACCCAGTGACCACAGTTTCACCTGCATGGGATCAACTAGGGGCCTGGCATGTGAAGGGGTGGGGAGAGGGTTCTCTCAAAATATGAAAAATAAATGGTAAAGAAGCCCAAAAGGTATATGCCTATGATATAATTGCAATGCGCCACCATTCTTTGTGTTATTTCAGAATAAGTAAATAAAAAAGTGAGAGGGGCAATTAAGGCAATGTAAACAAAAGTCTTCACCAGACTGCCTTCAGGTACTAAAGAAAAAGGTTCAAATTTGTTAACAAAATGGTAATTATGTATTAAAATAATTAAAAGTTAGTCGCGGGTGCCCTGGAAAAAAGACATAAGTAATTACTCTCTCTTGATCCTCCGTGTTCATGATAGTAGGCCTAACAGCAACCGTTGTGTTTCACTTTATCCAAATATATGTATCTCCATAACTCTCCCCCCCCCCCCCCTCTTTAATGTGGTAATCTTATATTTCTTATATAAACAATTCTTTTAAAGGGAAGACCAAACATTAACAATTAACATTAACGATCATTAACAAAAACGGGATTAAAAGTGTTCAGAGGTTCCACCCGAAATAACTGAAGAAATCACATCAAAAAGTGTGTTCGACCTACAGTGAAAAAAAATGTTTTTCAGTCGGCACTAAAATACTTTCTTAGTGCCAAACACTGCTTGCTGCATGACAGGCATAGTCGTGGTTTTATGTAGATATCACAGCAGGAATGCGACAATACTAGGTGGTGTCGCTGCTTTCGCGGCTTGATGCGGAAACTAATTGGGGACACCAAATTATAGAACCGCCACATAATTAAAACCCCATCCCATCACATGAGAGCTTTTATCTTCACAAATTTCCACTGTCTGACACCCCTAAAGAGTTAATGTATTAAACTCCATATGACTAGTATACATGCATAACACTTGTGTGTCTTGCTCCGGAATTTCGCTTTAAGCCCTCCTGACTTGAACCTCGAATTTAAAAGAATAATTGACACAAACAGCTGTCTTGATGACATGACTCATTATTATTATCCGGTAGAAAAAAATAGTGTATGAACTTCGAGGGAGAGGGAGAGGGAGATGGGGTGTGAGCTAGGCAAACTGGCAGACAAACAGACAGAGAGAGGGAGGGATATACAAACAGACATATTAATATTTTATAGAAGGGCTATATTATATAGCGGAGGGAGGGCAGAGACAGAGATGGAAACAGAAAGAGAGAGGGAGAAGGGGGGTAATACGGGTAGCTAATGTGATTATGATATGACATTATTTTGTTCGGTGTAGACCCGTAATGCGACCCCCAGTTGTCGACATGGAACCAACCTCGAGGCTTACATAGTTTGAACTAGATTACATGAAAGCCAATATTGATGATTCAAACTATTCGCTTAAGATTGGCTCTAAGTCTGTCTGTCACTGTTCAAATACTACTTCCCGCATGTACCCCGATACCGCGGAATCCTCATAATCAAATTTGGCGGGCGGGATTATATGAGAGAAAACAAAATAAAAAATGCTTCCCCAAGCCATTTGACTTTGTGGGTAGGGTGGGTTTGAATGTCAAAGTATAGTGTCTACATGACTTGTATGTAGATAAAGCTAATCCAGGCAAAGCGTGTTTGTCATTCGCTCATTATCGCGAAGTTATATAGCACGTTGTATTATGCCCAATCTTTGAAAACTGCAGCCATCTATTATATCCATGCGCAATGGCTTCCCATTGCTCTCAACGCTACATTGCTTTATACAGAGTCTGAAATAGGAAAACTAAATCATCAAAAAGACAAAAGGAGGGTTATATAAGTCCACCGAATTCAATATAGTACTTCAACATCAGCATAAGATCGTTGAAATGTTCCAAAGTAATTACAGGCAAGTTATTGCGTAACCATGTTGTGCATGCAATTAAGGGGGAACTCTGGTGTACATGAACATGGCCACACGATATAAAGCAATGTAGATTGTAAAATAAGATATTTTAAAGTACCCCACTGGATCCTAACAATAAACTATTTAGAATTGCTGATTATTTAAGAATCTCTATAAAACTAACGAATTGCACTAGTGGCTAATTGTGATTTCAATGCAAGGTTACAGTCTGAACATAATTTCAATAAATTTGGTGGTAAATCACCTTAGACTTTTTATTGGATTTTTGGATTAATCATGTTAAAGGTCATAACTAAGACAATAATTTACTTCGCCTTTAAAAAAAAAAAAACATCATTCAGCATATCTTTAGATCATACTACATACTTGCAGGTTCCCCTTCAAGATCCAACGTAATACCTCAAATACTGGGGTAAAATAATAAAACAAATCCCGTTTTCATCGTAAACACTAATCCCATAATCTCGCTATACGTGCTTGGGAGAATCGTGCGAAGCACAATTTTAAGCACTTCAAACTAATTACCATAATCACATAAATCATCAATTACTATAACTTGGCAACCAGACGCGTCATCGCCAACATGTCAGGTGACATTATGTCACGTGTTTCAGCGTGTTTCCTAGCAAATGGAGGTTTGGAACTTCAAATTATCGCTCCATGCTTGCTCCCACGCCTTTATAATTGTATGCCTAGGATGTTATCTTTGCATGACACATTGTCACTCCCACGTGTGTGTTAATATAGGCCCTGGCTAGACCGTGTCGGCATCAATCGTTCAAGTCTATAGATCATCCAACATGTAAAGACTTGCTTCTCCTTTAAAACAATCATTATTCTTATAATTAAAACAAATGGCGCAAACTTTCTGTCCATTTTATGAAATTTCAAAAATGATTCCGTTCGTAGTCACCTTTGCAGTTTGAAGATTGGACGAGTGGCCTTCATTGTTGGGAGAATTAAATTATGACCAATTTCGCCAAAAGATCTTCATTAATTGGGAAAAAAATATTTCTCAAATCATCTTAGTCACTATGCTCGCTTAAATTTCATTTACAATTTTACCTTTCCCTTTTTGTTTCAGTTACCTCTGAAATTATTTTTGTTCTTTCTAATTGTAAAACAAAATTAAAAAGATATGCGGTTTCCATAGAAATGATTAATTTTGAAGCTATCTTGGATGTCTATTTTACCAAAATTATTTTAGCGTCACCCTAATTTTAGTATGGTAAGGGGAAAAGGATTAATATTCAGTCTGTGTCCGTGTAGAGCAGCCTTGATACATTTGGATCAACCCTAATTAGTAATGACATCACCTTTATTCATGGAGCAATAAAGGAAATAATGATTAATAAAAGGATGAAGTTCAACCAGACGTGACGTCATATTATAATTATAAGATGCAGAGGTCCCTGCGAGAAAAGAAAAAAAAATCTGCTCTCCCTCAATCAAACTTTTACAATTTTGATACGTTGGTCGGTTGATATTTGTAAATTTGTATTATTATTTCCATGTTTTTTCTGTATTTTTTTTCTTTCCATGAATATCAGAAATGAATTATTGATTTGTTAGTTTTCTGTTAACTCAACAGTTCAACAATACTTGTATCTTGAGAAGCCAATTTTACTTATGTTATAAATAATGTAAATTACCTTGAATATATATTAACATTTTTGTTAATATGTTTCAAATGAAAATTAATAAAATCCCTGTGGAGGGAAAAATATGGAGGGGAAAAAAATTATTTCTATATTATTTTTCTTCTTAATTATTATGATCGCATTATGTCAGGTGTTCTTTGAATGTTGCCATATTTCAAATTCAATAATGTGCTCGATTACCGCCCTTTGACCACTGTCGATTTCTTCCATTTATTATTTGTTGATGTTGTTCTAAAGGAAAAAAAAGATATTGAAGAATTAAGCATCTTGATTTAAGCCATGGTTTACTAATTCATGAGGTCATTTATGAAATATTCTCAACGCACAGTGACTTTTCATCCCTCTCAATTTTTATTTTTTTCCATTAAATCTGTTATTGAGAGAAAAAATTAAAGGAAGTCGCGGGACATTTAACATGTTGTAGGTTTCCTTCGCCGAGGCTTGCCTGACTGACCACGATGACCTTTTCTATAACGTCTGTTGCCAAAAAATATAACTTACCACGATGAGCTCGATGGGGACGTTGAACTTGATCCTGTGCTTAAACTTTTCAATGATCTCCTTGGTCAGGAAGATCACACCGAATGATATCATGAAGATGATGATTGTTGCTGTGTTGCTGTCGCCCAGATGAGTCAAGAGATGTTTCCATACCTATACGTAATGCAGAGAGAGACATGATGAGAGAAAGTCGGTCAGGGGAAAAGGTTATCTGCATGTACTTACGTCACAGTCGTCATGAGACGCTTTAATGACGTAGCATGGGTCAAAATCACAAGTCGATATCTAGAAGGTTTAGTTTTTTCAGAAATGTTTTCGAGTGGATGTGAAAGTGACAGACAAGACATGAGGCATGAAATCCCTCCTGAAATGTAAAAATAAAGGCCAATATAAAGCAAAATGACCATCCTTGTATTTACTGAGACATGTCCCTCCTATTTTCTATTCATGGTTATCATAATTTTAGGGAAAAAAATCGTCTATTACGCACGTAGACAAAATGTCACCCATGGTTTCTTTTTTCATGGTTATCTTGTTGCCACAAACATTTTAGAGTGATTTTGAGTCATCGCTCTTGCGTTAAATATACCCTTTAAAGGTACTATGTCCAATTTGCAGGCCAAAAAAGGAAAGATAACACTAATTTAGAACTTCCCTCAAAAAGGAAGGGCTTGAATATGTCTTTTTGTGCAAAATAACGAGCATTAGTTGTCGAATCAACTTTAGGGATGGCAATCCTTTTTAATTAGTGAATAATCTGATTTTCAGAACCTTGTACTGAACAGTGTACGTTTTGTGCTGCGGAAAATTTAATTATGGCCATTACAAGAAGTGGGTTATTGATATCGACAAATGCTCATGTACCCTTTACAGCTCATTTTATCACCAAAGAAAAAAATGAAATCAGTTCAATAGTGTCTGACAGTGAAGTCTAGAAAGTAAACGGGTTTCCTTGCATAATTTGAATTTCACAGATAGGACATACGTGACATATTCATAATTTTTGCAAAGTTCTACATAATTTGATGTTGGCTGCAAATGGGACATAGCACCTTTAACATGGTTCTCGGTGAAGAGTTGAGACGATTTGTTCTAAATCAAGGTGGCATTTACGGGGGCATTTATCGGTAGCTGCGGGGAATATTATGAGGTCAGAAAGAGGTTCGGCAAGAAATGAATAATACACCGCCATAATCACGAGACAAAGAGTGAATGTTAAAGAAGGACATCATCATGGGGTGGAGTGCGGACATTCAACTAGATAACCATCTTTTGCTCCTGAAAATAGCCTTCCTCTGCTCCTGATAAACATACTATTCTCATTGACTGAACTTAGGTAGCAACAAAACACAAAAATCCTGTTTTGGAAGAAGGGAATTGGAATAGATTCGGGCTGAATTCAAGTTCTCCCTTATTGAAATTTTGTTGTTTAAACCAAGTTTCTGAGATGATGCTAGTCTGCATGCCTGACACTGCACTCACACTACGAATTATTTTCTATTTCAGTGATATTAGTTAAAGTAGCGTTATAATTTTAATTGTATAGGCTTAAAAACCATGCTGTTTCATGTTCCTGTCCCGCTTCAATATATTCTTTGTCTTAGAAAAGATACCAGAAATAGGACAATAAATATTTTGTTTTCATAATTTATCAAAATATTGCCTGCTTGAGAGTCAATATGATATTTGGACTTTTGGCTGCTCAGGGGAAATTAGTGTTAAATATGACGAGTTGTTATGATGATGATGATTTTTCGTGTGTGAGAACTAACACATAAAGTATCGACAACCGTACACATTTATTTTTGTTTGTTATTTGTTTATTTTTTGTTTTATCAATAATATGCCATGAATCGACTAACTACAGATAGAGCAGACCTGCATTACAGTTTCAAATACATGTACATTTTTAGGGCACATATAAGATAAGACATTGTCACTGGTCTATACCATGTAAAGTGGACATTCTGACAACAATCCGCACATATATTTGTTATAATATGAGGAGATTAGGCAAGTTAAAATATTCTTCATGACAACCAAAAACATAATTTGAATGGATTTGAGTTGATTAAATAGATTATAACAAAATATTCACAAGTCTGTCACATGCAAATGTGGTTGATTATGCAAGTCCAAGAACTATTATCTAACCCAAATATTCTCGATCATGTCGGATCGTGCAATCCAGCTTTATCGATATCAATTACGTCATATTTTAGATGCGATAAGAACCGAAGGAAATGGAATAATCATGTTGGTTTCCCAAATTGATACAGAAGACGTGGTTGGAAATTGATACTCCATTGTTATTTCGAGACAATCCAGTAATTAGAGCAGAAAGATGATCCAGTGTTACCAGTATTATTTGGTCTACTCAGCGAGTGACGGTTCGGATCAATGGAAAATTGAAACGGGTTCCTACTGAGAAAGAAACCACTATAGGATATCTCATAAATCTGATAAGTTATTCATTTCATTTCAATCGAGTTTAGGGTTTTAATTATGATATCAAGCGAGTAGAATGATTTAATCTTACTATCTGACCCGGTAAGTAAATATGGTAACCTTTTAATCAACAGACATGAATGTAATCTGTATAGTATTGTCTTCTTAGTTGACTTAGACTAAAGATATTCATACGTTATGATGTATCTATTCCATTGAGCATCGTACATCGTCCGTGTGTTGGTTTCCGTCGCTTCTTAGATTGAAACTGCAGATATTTATAATATTTATAAATCCGAATGTTTTCTCTTATTATAGGTAATATCCAAAATCCCCGATATTAAAGTTTCGAAAAGATATGAATTACAATCAAATACTTTTAAATGCACCCTGTACTTTAAATGTGTGGTCGAACATTAGATCTACTCTTCTGATAACAATGCTTATTTCATCATATTGTTATTCATGATTTGGTCACTGATCCTGCATGGACGCCCTGACTTCCCCTTAAATCTAATCAATTTACGGGATCAATAATTGTGGAAATCACTGGATTAATCCATCTCAGATCCTATTTCATTCCCCTGCACTTTTAATGCGGTCTGCACGTAACATGACTTGGGATATTACAAACTATTGTGCTTCCTTAAAATAGCATCCATTGTCTAATCTTGGGTCTTATCTTCATCGATCTCAGATTATGAAGATTGTAGCGCCCTCATGTTTCTCACGATTTTTGGAAAGGATCATTATCGTCAACACAATAGCGTCATGCAAAATAATCAGCATTTTCTCCCTAAAGCCTTCCTCACGACGGAATATATTATCAATACAATACATGTTAAATATCATTTTAGCTCCTTGAATACTGATCGAATCTTCAAAGAAGGGCTTATAAATGTTTCCAGGGTCCGTTTGGAAACAAAAACAGTTTACCACACAGCCTGTCAAAATGAAAGACACAAGGAATCGAGATGCAACTCAAACAACGCAGACGCAAACTTGCATAGAATAATGATGATATCGTGTCTTTCAGAAACCTCAAGAGCACCTAAATGTCCAAATTGGTGAACACCTAGGCAGGGACTTAGGCTCATTCACTGAGTACTATAAAGGTGGAAAAGAAATCAACTTACAAATACGATTTCCGGGGTCTTGTCATCAAGCGATCTTCCAGGGACATTGATACCTAGAGCCGATGGAACTTGACTGGTCAGTACATGGAAGGCTGCTCCTGTAGTGAAGGCACGTACCAAGGCCTCAGAGAGGTATACAGTCACAAAGCCACATCGACAAATACCCATCAGAACCTGGATGGAATAAAGAAGGATTAATGACATTTTTATGGTGCTGTTCATTCATACTCTTTCATCTCCTTTGTGTTCTCAGCCTTTCTTTTACAATTTCTTTTGTCAAATTTTATTTTGTTCTCAATTGTTCTGGTTATCTTATCATTTTCTTCTTCTTCATGAAACGTGCCGTCCACCCCCTCTTTATCACAATCTTCTTTTTTTCTTCTCCTCCTCCTTCTTCTTCTCCTAATTCTTCCTTTTCTTCCTTTTCTACTTCATCACTACTATTCTCATCATCATCATCAATCATCGTCTCCTCCAACTACTCCTACCCTTTTCCCGTTAATTAATTCTTCCTTTTTCCCCTTTCCCCCTTCTTCGTCAGACTCAATCAAAGGGGCCTAATTCCTGTTTTACAAACGAGCCCCTAATCATGGATGTAACTTTTGTCGTTATTCCTGACAACTTTAATACAGCGCATATCGACACATCGTTTAATTTATCATTGCTTCGTATCGTCATAATGATTTGTACCTGTAGGATACCGACGATGAGACAGAGAGCGACGTGTATCTTCACCCTCTCCTCTTCGATGTCGGTGCCGCCATGATTGTGGCCGTCGCCCGAATGCGTCCCGTTGAGTTGAAAATTGTCTCCAGGCGGACCCGTCTCCAGGTCGAGAGGCGGACCCATCTCCAGCGCAGAGGCGGAGGGAAAACGCTCCATCAGGACTCGGCCAACGGTTTCACGGCACATCAGACTCACCACAGCAAAGGTACCTGCAACGAATTAATGTTTCAAATGTGGTCTTCGGAGATAAGCAGGGGAGTTAAAATTCAAACATGTGACATTAAGTTAAGGGTGATTATGAGCGGAAGAGAGCATTGGGATCAGGCGTCCACTCTTGCAATACCAGAACAATTTGGACATAGCAGTTGGTCAAAATTATCATTGTGTTCATTATATTCCCAAATAACCTTGGATAGCCTAGTATGTCTCTCTTAAAGAGAGTAATTATTGTCAGATCTTTGAGCAAATTGGGGGCACCCCTCCCCAAATAGACTCGGGATTATGCAGCACGTTCGACGGAACATGCCCTCAACCCCCCCCCCCCCCCTTCCCTCCTGTCGACGGATCAACCATCATAGAGGATGTAAAAATTTGGGTCAGTTAAAGAGTGTTAAGTAGAGGCTCACTATGAACTAAAGGCAAACGTCTAAGGTTGATGAGATTCACTAAAAAAACCATGACAAACTTTTTACAATATCTGTGTAATTGCTGATGCAACAAAATAATGAAAGTGATCGATGATCCGTCACGGTAACAAGATATGAAAAATTAGGATCGGAGACATGGATGAGGACTGGTTAACGTATTGATAATTGAAAAATAAAATGTAGGCCTACATGTTTCCTTGGATTGCATTTAGATTTGATGGTCTGTATTTCATTCATTTACAAGTAACGGAATGTAAATAAATAACAAAGATCATCCTTGATCCATTTCAATGATAGTTATTTTGACAGGAATAATCATGTTATCATCTTAAATCTTCAACAAATCCTTACCCATAGAGAGATGTTTGGATGTACCCATGAAGAAGTAGATAAGAACAGGAAAGAACGTAGTGTAGAGACCGTAAACAGCAGGTAGTCCGGCAAGGATGGAATAGGCAAGACCTATTGAAAACGAAACAATTATTTTAAAAACATGATTATGATACTATCTTGAAATTTTTGTTACAGTCGCTGCATACATTAGATTACCCGATTACTTAAACACAAGATTGTGAACGAGAGCTTCCATAACCTGAAATAATACGTTAATTAAAAGGAGCCCCCCCCCCCTCCCAAAAAAAATACACGCACAAAAGTAAATAACACATTGAATAACATGATAATCAAACGCAGACTTTATTCAAATGTTAGCATTAATGTTATCATGGGAAGAAATAAAGAAGGCGGGTGAACAATTGATGATGGTGCCATTATTAAAACAAAAACTAAAGATTCTTGCCCATTCACATTCTAGCGAGAAGGTTTACCATCTTTGATCATTCAACAGCAAAATCACTCCATAATGGCTTCGCAAACCCCTTCCTTTCGGATCAAATTCCCTGTATTACCCCTTTCCCTTCCTCTTTAATGTTCAGGAACAGGAATAGACTAGCAAAAATCAAGATCTTATTTGATATTCATAATGACTGTGCGATAATTATGCAGCAGACATCACACTAATGTCACCTTGAACAGCATCCTTCGACAGCTGCTGACAACATAGAATCGGGAGGGGGGAAACGGATTGGTACGTATCGTCTGCTTGACTCTATTCTTGACATTGTTAGTTTTGCTTAATCCATGATTCATGATTTATCATGACAATGGTGTATGTGCAAAGAGGGGCAATCCGGAGCCAAGGACGGGGGAAAATTAGTGGATCATTTGTACTTTGCATGAACCGGGTTTGCTTAACAAGGCGACATTGATCTATAAACGGCGGATCAAGAGCGCAAATGTTGGCAAGGTATGATTTTCCATGGATTATGTATTTTTGTTTAAACTAGTGTTGGAGAATTCCCTTTTCTAATTTCAAATAATATTTTATTTTTTTAAATCATTGCTAGTGCATCATAGTCAGTGGAGTGCATACGGGGGCATGGGGGCACGTGTCTCCCTCTCCCACCCCACATCGTATGACGAAAACAGAGCAAGAAGATAGATACAAAAGAGAAAAAAGAATGGAGAGGAAAATAGTGGTAACGTGATTTTACTACCCCTATCACTACATCATTCCCAGTAGTGGTTATTTCATCTGACTGCTAAGAAAGCAATAAATGCTTGTTAGTAAGCAACCAGAAGACCGACGGCATAAGGTCTTCTCTGAGGGACTTGGTAATGAGGATTAATGCCTTACCAAAGGGCACTGGTTCATCGCCTTGGTTTCGAGCCCGGGTCGCCGGATTACGAAACCACTGCTCTACCGACTGAGCTAACGCGCCTCCTCGTACGGTGCACCCACCCTCCTTCCATGACGCCAGTATACCCTTAAAGCCACTGATCACATTTTTCCTAACATCATGTGAGTAATGTTACCAATGCATCTGGAATGTTTGATCAGTAAATCCAGAAATACAAACATCAGAAACAAGTATATAAACAAAAAGCAATACAGTGATAATACCATACAATATTACTGCAATCTTCAACGACTCAGACGCTATGAATCACTGTATGAATGTTACTTTGAATTTTGAAGATATTTTTTGTCTGGGTTTTCAGCTTAAATGGATAATTGGATGCTTGAATTAGACATTGATAGTCTGAATAGGAGCAGTATGTCACCAAACTGATGAAAGGATTAAGAGGGGGTATAGGGGATTAAGAAGGGTGAGGAAGTCAAGTTAAACGGATGCTTCACCTATATCTCACAGAGAACACTTCTGTTGAGTTATGGTGTGCCTCATTGAAATCATGGATTAGGGGAACACACGTAGTGGAATTACCACGCTCCTCCCAGGCACCTCCTGTATTGCATGCCTCTTTGAGTTCTCTTTTCCTCTCTATATTTTGTTCTCTTCTTATTCATCTTTTCGCTCTTTATGTTTCAAATTTAAACACCTGCTGATACAGCTATAATATATGTATCTTGTAATATTATGTACGTTTGCCTGTCGATCTGGATTTCTATTTTCTAATATCTGGTGCCGGTGCCATATCGGAACCTATCTTTCATAGATTAGTCGATTTTTATTTTCATTTTATAATATCTCCAGGTTTGATATCCCTTTATATATTTTCTCATGTACCCTCATCTTCTAAAGTCGCTATTAGCTGATGCTATCTTCATAGACCTCTGCACCATTTGTCATAAGTCGAGTTCGTCTCGCTTATCTATCTCTTGGTCTCTATCTGTCTGTCTCTGTTTCTGTCTGTCGGTCTGTATGTCTGTCTATCCCTCTCCCCCTCTCTATCTCTCTCTCTCTTTTTCTTTCTCTCTCCCCCCCCCCCGCCCCCCTCTCTCTCTTTCCACCCTCCCCCTCTCTCTATCTCCATACCCCCTTTCGTCTTATTATCCTCCCACGTGTGCAGCCTCGCCTGTTCCAAGTTTATTTAATAAATGAGTCACCAGCGTGCTTGGTTTGCAAAGATTACGTTTTTTTTACATGAAAAATCTGTTATCTTTTAACAAACTTTCAGAGATGCATGAACATGAAAACTATTCCTATAAATACCCCAGCTCGACAGAAGTAAAGGAAATGCTTGTCAAGGACGATCATTTATCGTCGGGGCTCATTTCTGTATGGAATATAATTGTTACGATAGTTTCATGGTCTGAATCTTTAACTAGCTAATTTTCACATCATTTTTTAAAAACACCTCTCGGGGAAAATTGCGAGACATGAAAACTATTTTTTATCTCTGCAGGAACGTTTTTAAACATTGCTTTTAATCACGAAATTTCAAAAAGATTCTATGATATTCTTAGACATGCACGTTTAATAAAAAAAAAGAAGATGTAGTTGCACAAGACGTTTAAATCTGTAAAATAAATACTTTCAATAAATAGATAAAATACAGAAACTGTTTAATGAATAGTATGTCAGAGTAGATCAATAAATGATTTTAAAAATCGTGAATAGAACATTTTGAACGATGGAAAGGGAGTTGAAGATAATCAGCAGATAGAAGGGAGGAAGACTCGTAATTATCATAGTGGGATTATTATTATTGCCCTCACCTGAAATCGGATTATAGGTGTTAGATAGAGTTATAGTTAGGGCGATGCTGATATATTTTTGACCTTCAGGTGACACGACTTTGAAGTTTTACTAAACCATCAAGGTTTAAACAGCTTATGATAGGCACACAACTGACAACAAAGGTGTGTTATACAATACAAAAGGAACAACAGACAAGCAACAACAAAAAACAGACAGGCAAAAACAGACAAAAATAGAAGAATCTTAAGTTGGAACTGACAGTAATAATTATTTTAACGGTCTAAGTATTATTAATTTGAAACCATGATGACTAGAGGCTAGACATAATTAATCTGATATCACAGATCGAATTTCGAAAGGACAGACAATGATATACAGAAGTAGGTCGAATTATAGCCTTTTAGACTCAGGGACCGGAAGTCCCCCGCTAAAATCTAGTTCAGTTTAGTTCAAACACATACTGGATATTCAAATTACCAATGATAATTCTCTTTGGAAAATGAATTGATATGAAAACGAATCAATTTCGTAAAATCTTTCACGAAAGCATTCAAACAGATATTATGGAATACATTTGTGTTTAATGGAAAAATATTCGTTCGATACAAGACATCGGCTGTTGTGGCAGACAATGTGAATACAATCATGAGATAATTCGTTTCATGACAAGATATTATATACACAGCATGACAATGCAACTTATGAAAAGTAGTAGATTGGCTACACAGATCACATGCAATGACAATGCAAGCAGCAGAAAATATTATTTTTGCCTCTAAACTTTCCCATCACCATCGTATTTGATTTATTAAATTTCACGCGTGCAATACTATACGACCCTCTTCAGTTCACGCATCGCGATTCCACAATTGGAAACCTAGATATCACGGGTCAGTGGTGCTCATATGTCTCTGGTGAGTGCGAGGTAGCTACCGAGGGGTGCAAGGTGACCATTCTACAACCTCTGGGGCTCATCCTTTCAGGATATTGGATTAGTGACAATAATCATGGGGATGACCAAATGACCTCAAACACATTGCCCTACATTTAACTTCCAGGTCATTCAAGTAAAGCAAAGCAAGGCTATAGAAGTATGACTTATAGTCCCTACTGAAAACAAGGGATTTTAGTTGCTTATTGTTCAGAACGATAGAGCAATTTGAGATTACATACTGACCTCAGATGACAGGCCATGTGACGTAGGTATGAAAATAGCAGTCAGTGATAAGATATTATATACGCAGTGGAAGTGAATCATAATAACTTTGTCATTGCAAAAGGTTAACGGTATTGTTTGATTTAAGATTCAGCTTAAGCTTAATTAGACATTTTGACGTAATGTACGCACACCCAGTTCGTTTACATGGAGATGTTTATGAAAACAGTGGACAACATAAGATGGAGGTGATACAACAAACGCAGAGTCCAAATTATTTTGATAGGAATATTGGACTGCAACGTCAGTGGTACCATAATATTTGTTGTTGCTAGTACGTCATTCAAACTGCTAATTTGGCCACTGCTGATAAAAAGTAAATAAATAATGTGCTTATAGGCGCCTATCAACCAAAGTGCTGCATGCATCAATAGGAAACACTCAAATTCACATGATCTATTACTTCCTTAAAGAAATGAAAGTAAGAGATCAATGTCCGAAATGAATTTCCTTAAAACGCTTTTTTTTTTTTTTTTTTTCCCCCTTCAGGATTTCTCAATTTTGTAATACATTTGCCCCCTCCCATCCCCTGGGCCATCTTGGGGTTTGTAACGTTTGGTCAAAGTGTTGTGTACGATTGATGACACACAGTTGTAGATTTCCCTGAAGATGTACGCAACCCTATGTGAAGGACTAATATTATCTACAGTTCCAATTCCTGTCATGGAGGACTTTTACTGGTTTCACTTGGTATATGACTTTGTGACCAAGTAATGATTATCCTTGTCTTGTGTGTGTGTGGGGAGGGGGTATCCTTTCACCTTTTGTTTGTATTATGATTTTACTTTAGAACAATGAAATACGTGTATTTGGGGGCATTTTGGGTCCTGGCACGTATCGGGAGAGGGGGCAGGGGCGGCATGACATTAGTTCTTCTACTGGTTTCTTCTAGAGGTCATAGTTACGAAATGACACATCATCTGTATTTCAGCTGTTGTCCATTAAGAGACTACACAATCCCTCTCAAGAAAAATATACTATTGCTCATCTCATTCCTTTGGGGTTTTCTCGGGAGGGGCAAATTGGTTTTTATTTTTACATTTTGGCAACATACTAAGAAATGGGTATTTTTGTCTTTGCCAAGTCGCTAAGGGGACAGTTTCAACCACTACTCCCTTAAAACCTGATCATACTTTTGGCGAAATATTAATTCCTTCTTAACCGAATGCAGCGACCCGATACTAACCGCATCATCATGTGACTATTCATGTCAGTGTCTTGGCAATTTCCATGCAATTCCCTTGAGAACTCAACCTTAAAAAGTCGCCCGTCTCTAACTAATTTACAGAACATCGGAAACTCGTTTGTATTAACTGAAGGTAGGGGTCAGGGGAAAGGAATAAGGTAATTTTCCGATGATTAATAATTTCATTACCACGTGACAAACTTTCAATTTCTTTCGTCTGTTTTCTGCGGGTCAAAATGTCAACTTCAGTTTCCCCCATTCTTGTGACGTCACAAACAGCCTGCTGGCCTCCCCCATCCTGTGTGAATGCCATTAAAGTTGTATTTGACCGAAATTTTAACCTCAAGAAAATAATCATGGGCAGTATGTTCATGAGAATAACATAACACTTGGCACGAGATATGGGAAGTAAATATAAATTACTCATCTTTTTTTATTAAGAGGCGGACGATTTTAACATAAAATTATCTTAGAGCCTTATTCACTATCTCCGCATCGTTCTTTGATCGGTCTGACAATAATTGCATCTGTTAGACTTGTCTTATTAGGACGGAGTCTTAAATTGAAGGGAAAAAATAAACATTGGCAGCGACTACGTTAAGATAAGTTGAATATGATGTCATTTTCAGGAAGTTGTGATAAGGTCTAAATACGTATTTATTCCAAGCATTCTAGAATATTTTATGGGCCAAAACAACGGCCAAAGGTGAAGTTGACAATACACAGTACACAGCACACACTCTTGAAGAAACCGTCAACCCATCGCCAAGTCGTAAGGAAGATACATTGAGGATTCTAAATACATTAATGAAGTCCCCCCGGTGTTACCATAGAAACACATCCGGGTACGGCTAAAATTATCCAGGCTACATTACGGTTGGGTCATGTTCAAATTGCGTTAGATCGAGGGAATTTCCTCTCTATAATTACAGGCAGTGTGTGTGAGGATATGGTTGTCTGCTGCCACGACGTCTAGTAACGATATGTCATCTTCCTGATCAGAAAAAAGTCAGGGCAATGAAAACGAGACGATGCCAACAATATTAAATTGTTGAAAATGAAATATTGCTTTCTTATAGTCTTAAATCGTATCGCTTGCTTATGATAAATAGGCTTTTATAACTAAATTGTTGTGATGGGTTTTGAGAGCCTCCTAATGAGTCACCAAGCCTTGATTCAACAGCGTATCATTCTGTGTATGAAGCTTTATTCTGTATTTTATTTAAGTGAAAATAATTATCTATGCAATCATTAATGTTCACAGGCACATTCTTCAGATCATTTTCTTAAGGAAATAATATTTTTATCCCTATAGGCCTCATTTTCATGGCCGATGAGAGTAAAGAGAAATGCAATGGTGGAGAGGGGTTCGGGGTGGCGCTTAAACGATTAATGCAATTTCACAGCTCCCCTAGCCTCCCCCTCCATCTCTCTCCCTCCCACCCACCCACCCCCTCACTCTCTCTCTCTCTCTCTCTCTCTCTCTCTCTCTCTCTCTCTGTGTTTGTCTGTCTTTCCCTCTCTCTTTCTCTCTACCCCCCTTCCCCCTCCCCTCTCTCTTTCGACTTGTGTACACTAATCCTTGTTCATATCATCCGTGAAGCTCACGTGTATACTGACTCACATCCTTGCCAAGAAAGCTTCTCTTGGGTTCCTTCTGCCTGCCAGTTCCACTCTAGGTCTTTGTACTCCCGACCCCCTGTTAGATTAAGGTACTCGACAAGGGTGCTCTTTTTATGTCATTGCGTTTCTATGTTTAGCTCACTGGTTTGCGGGTTGATACAGCCGGGGCGTGTGGCATTTGTTCCCCAGGGCTGTCAAACTCCCAACTTAAACCCCACTCAGGAAAGGCACTCCTCATTAACAAAAAAAGAAAGTGATTTCTCCAACTAAAGGGTTGAGGTATATTGCTCCTGTAACCAAATGACTTTTGTTCAAACCCTTGCAAACTTAATTTTTGTTCTGATGCAGCTGCTCAATTTGGCGCCTCGATCTTTGTCATCAGAATCATCAAATTCATATTAGTTCGAAGTTTACTCCCTTGAGCAGATTGTCTGGCTACGAAACACTTTGAGAACTATGAAGAGCTTTGGAGAACATTTTCCTTACACAGCAAGAAATAATCATTCCTTCCTCTTTCATCCTTTATCTGTATCTCATTCCCTCTCTCAATTCTTGTTTAAATAGTTCATGTTTGTTTGCGATATACTTATTAAATACATTTTTCATTGAAAACCAAGATAACATTAAAATTATTTTGAAGGAGATAGAGACATTGCGATAACTTTTACCCAATACATACATTATCTCTCATTGGATGATGAGACATTGGTCGAATATCAAACAATCGATTTTTTATGACGACGATAAATGTAGTTTGTTCCGTTGTAACCAATGCTTTATAAATTCATTGATTTTGATCTCGAAGTGTTAATTAATCTCATTTTCTGCGAACAAGTCGAACATAATATAGTCTTCTTTACATATTAATCTAATGAAAGCTCACCAAAAATTACAGCAAAGGATTATCGACATAATCTATCATAATGATAAAAACAATGCTTTTCGTGGATTATTGCGTCGTGATGAAGTTTTAGATTAGTGACTTTTATTCAAACAGAAAATTTACTGTCTGTTTGTGGATTTGTTTATGTATGGTCTTATCAACTCAATCGAAACTAGCATAAATATTTAGCCATTTCCATGGAGCTTATTATCCGTCCATCTCTTTAAAACTTAACCTATTAAAAATCAATCAAGAAAGTGCATAGAGTCATTTATTTTAGTCTCGTCCAAGTAGGTAACGATAAGAAACTAGCCAAGTGGCAACCAGCAACTTTGTTGTGAAAAATAAACACTATCATGAAGTTCAGCCCACATTCGTTTCTTCTTCCCATCTCAGGCTTAATGGGTATTTACTTTCCCTTCTGTGCCTCAACGCCAAGCACACTGGCATCGAGTTGAAGGATACAAAATGAGGGATAAAGTATGACTTTTCAAGTGTCGAGATTTCTAAATATTCCCCTACCTAAACTTGTCTGTCTCGTGCCTAAGCTAACATTGACGCTATAGATATTAGAGAAAGAGAAGGAGCATTAAAGAGCTTATACAGAAGCACGCAAGGAATACAAGTGGACAACGTTTTCAAAAGAATTATTTTTACGAATTAGTTTTGCTCTCCAAGCTAGACTATACCACGCTTGCCTATTAAAGATTTCAGAATTCACACGCTCTGTCTCATGTTATCTCACGACGGTCTTGCAAGTTTGGTTGTGTCTGTCTGTCTGTCCTAGTATCTCCTTGGTCTGCCTCTATGTCTCTCCCCTCCTTCCTACTGTCTCTGTCGCTCTCTGTATGTCTCTATGTCTCTCCCCTCCCTCCCGCTGTCTTCGTCTCTCTGTCTGTATGTCTCTCTCTCTCTGTTTCTCTCTCTGTTTCTCTCTCTGTCTCTCTCTGTCTGTCCTTTATTCTCTCCCTTTCTCATTTCTCATGTGGTACCATGTACCACATCGTATACAGGTTTCAAATCCATGCCATGAAACTGACGTAGTTTAGAAAGATCTGTAGCTACATTCCTCACTCTCGGCTCAGGTGAAGTAAAATAAAATAGGGGTACGGTAAGAAGACATGCCTTGAATACTTGCCTTATAATAATTTTATTGAGGGGAAATAATACCAGCGATGTCTTAAAGAAGGAGCGTTCTGTGCTCCCCAACCCAATCCCCCCCCCTCTCTCTCTCTCTCCCACCCTCTCCCCCTCTCTCTCTCTCTCTCTCTCTCTCTCTCTCTCTCTCTCTTTCCCCCTCTCTCTCTATCTCTCTTTCCCTCCCACTCTCTTTACCATACCATAATCTTACCTTGAGGAATATTGACGATGCCCATGGTAATCCCAGCGATCAAATCAGATGACAGATACTCCCTGAATTTGTAAGCAGGTATCCACTTGCACACAGGAAGCACCGATTGTGCGGCCGATTTAACTGCGTTTCCACAACTGAAAAATTGCCATAATTAAGTTTAGATTGCTTATGGTAGACTGGTTTAAACACATACTTCAGTATATACTTCATACTACAGTACTTAAAGAAGCAAATGTGCTAACGTTAGATGTATCAACTATAAAAGTGAATATAACATGATGCTAAAAGAAGGAAATTTAATGTTTTGTTTGCACGCGTTACATAATTTTAGGCAATACGGAATCATCGCAATGGGGAATAATGTCAGTCTTGACAAATCTAGTAATCAAATCCTCCTCTAAATTAACCTATTTCAGGTTTGTCATTATATTCAATCTTAAAATGCAATGTACATTGTCCCTCATAGTTTGATTGGATAGCAGAGACGTGGAGTGTTAATTGCTAAATATTTCGTTGATCACAATCGGGGTGCGAAGGTCATTTTGATTTATTCAACATTTCACATTGGCTCTAAAATTTTTATAATAGAAAGTATGTTAACATAATGGTATTATTATTCTTCCGGAAACAACATTTCTGGAATTATGATCGCTAATATGCATTATTTTTCAATTTTTGTGAGCGTTAATTACTATATCAAACTGTTTCGTAGCATGATCTATGCTTAGTTATCATGTAGTGTATCAAACGACATTTGACTTAGATGATCTAATGGGTGCCTTTTTAAAATATATTCAACATGCACTGTATATCTTACTTGAACTGCTTCATCTTTTTCTCGATCCGTTGCCTGGCTGTCTTGACTTCTTGATGAGGTGTAAACTTGTGGTTGAATTCCAGGTTGGTGTACACCGGTCGGTCGATCTTCATCTTCAGTTGCCCTGGACCGAGAGGTTGAGGACGATCTTCGCCAGTGGAGACAGTGTCCTTACTTGATCGTTTCTTACGATCTCTACGTTCTCTACCTCTTCGTCCGCCTCCATCGCCGTCGCCATCACCACCGCCGCCGCCGCCGCCGCCACCACCACCACCTCCTCCTCCTCCTCCACTTCCTCTACCACCACCACCACCACCATCATGGCCATCAAGACCAATTTCATCTAGCCCTCCTCCTGCACTCCCAAATCCAAAGGTAGCGTTCCCATTGAGTGGGATGTTGTTGGTACGAGTAATACCATTGCTCATAGCGATGGTCACACCATCACTGCCGCATCGCCCTTCTCCTCCTCCCGTACCTGCATTCCGCTGGTTACTCAGGTCTCCGTTCCGAAATTCACAGAAATCGGGAAGATCACGAAAATCACTCAAATCTGGGTGCGACTGTTCGACTTTAATGGAGAAATCCCGGTTAGACATGATGCATTAATCCAGCTTAACGAATCTCCAAAGTAGTGGGGAGAATAAACCGCGATCACGCGGAATGTTTGAGAGAAAATAGATGCCAAACTTGCTTGATCGGTAAGTGGACCATCAAGTGCTGCGAAATTGATAAATTGTAACTTGCTGATGTCAAGATGCGTCTGGTAAGTAAGCTGACAGTGTAATGACGATGCTTTTAGCTCCAGACTAAAAGGCCTGTAAGGAGAGCTTCATGCTCAGCTACTGATGGAGACACAACATGCTGTTTACAAGTGAGATTTGATGAATACAAATTTCGAAAATAGGAATTAATTAACGAACAGGATGCAAACTAAACACAGTTAGTTCGTCCACTAGTCCTAACACAGATCGAATGACAGCGAATATGTCAACTGTGTTTCGGTGCGAGTGAAACGCAAATGAAAATCACAATGAAAGTTTTCAAATCATGACTTTCTTTCAGGAACGAAGTAGGTTCTCCTGTCGCGATCAAATCCCCATCCCCTCTCACGTTAACAAAGGAGGTAGAAAGACAAGTTCAGTGACGGGTTTCTATGACGAATATCAAGGGTAGTCTGTGATTAGCTGCCGTAGTTGCATACCCTCCTCTGCGCATGCGCAGTGGCTATGGTGGGCGGGGTCTACATGGGTTCCCCAAAAGAGATGCGTGTGCACCTCTAACAAGGATTGTGTATGCCCCTACGTGTTGATACCCATGTTGAGTGGGAGGGGAAGGGGGAAGGGGGAAGGGGTGCATAAGCGTGTGTGACTGTGATAGCTGGGGTAACCAAAGTGACCTGGAAGTCACAAAGGGATGAATAATGCATGCATGACTTTTTTCTTTGATACGACTCAACCTAGTCGAAGTTCGAGGACGTGTGTTCCTCTTTGGGGATGTAACGCGTGATAATGAAATTTATATTGCGGTTAGTGATGAATATAATGTGAGTATTAATAAAGTACTAATTATATTCATCCAGGTGATATATGAAGTTTCCTACTTATTTTCTTACGTTGGCTATTAATATTTTTTTAGGGATAGTTATTTTTATTTTCTTAGCAGATACGTTATACTTTTCCTGTCAGGGAAATGAAAATGTCCAGTGTTACAGTTTTGGGCGACCTGTTGCACTTATGTCATCGCTTTGCTAGAAATAGTTTTACTTCAGTGTGGTTACAGCCTCAAATTAAGTTAAAATTATCACATTACCCCCGGCCCCTCCCCCATTAGAATTAAAAGCGACAGACTACTAATTATCACCTAATTATTGATGACATCAGGCGGCTTTGAATGGAGGAAATAGATACAAGAAAAGAAGTGTCGAACCTATCAATCCGTAATCGTCAAACACAGTAAATATCACGATGTCATTATAAGAAATCAGTGATTTCATTTTATGAAAACAATTTTAGTGAATTCCCCAGTCTTGTAAACTCTAAATTCTTTAAAGTGTTAATAAGGTACCTTGACACTGAAAATGGTTAGACAAAAAAATAATTAAATTGGTTGTATTGATGAATTCAATTTTTTTTTAAAGACAGCGCATTGAATACTTTCAAGCGCAAACCAGTATCATACGCAACGGTACAATTAAAAAACTAAATACAAATTATCAAATAAATAATAATGAAAAACAACGACAACAACAAATTACTGCAACTACTACGACTAATACTACTACTACTACTACTACTACTACTACTACTAATACTACTACTACTACTACTACTACTATACCAGCACTAATATTACTACTTCTACCACTACTTACACCACTACCAAGCTACCACCACCACCACCACTACCACCACCACCACCACCACCACCACCATCACTACTTCTACTACTACTTCTATTACTACCATATTACTACTACTACGACTGCTGCTATACCGCTACCATGACTACGCTGCAGTTACGTCTAATACAGTGGGGCGCTTCGGGTTTAGGGGGACACGGAGTTAACTGCCCCCGTGATTAGCAATGAAGAATGGGAAAGTAAAAAAGAAGGTAAGAAGAAATATGAAAGGAAGCGAAAAGCGAAAAAGAGGTTAAGAAAGAGAGAGAGAGAGAGGGGGAGGGAGAGAGAGAGAGAGGGGGAGGGGGAGAGAGAGAGAGAGAGAGAAAGGGGGTCAAAATACAGATGTGACTAAACTAAAATTAATGAAGGATGTGATAAGCTATGGTTGCATGGGATCCAGTTCCATAAAACATCGTGAGGCATGGATATAAGGAGCTATTGTTTCTTAGGATAGCACATTAATGTCAAAGTTTGATGGGAACACGGTTGTATGACTAAATCTGGGGTGGGGCATAGTGGGGGGGGGCGTGTGTCCTCCTACTGAGTTTTCTCTCTTTTTTCAAATAGAGAACATATTAGGTAAATAATTGATATATTTACTGAAGTTCAATCAGTGCAGTCTTCTTCTTTCGTGTCCATCATCTGAGCTCAAATTTTCTGCCAGGCTCTTGCCCACTGAAGATCCTTCTCATATTGCTGCCACTATAGGTCTTCAAGGCAGCATTAGTCATCTAGGAGTGGGCATCTTAATAGAAGTTACATAGATTGCATGGATGTTCCACACTCACAGTCAGTGTCTGTGTCATCTGTGTATCCCTATTATTGTTATGCATTTTGTATTTGCATCGCCCCACCCCTGTGCGAAGTCTATCAGGGGAGCCCCAAACAACCATCTCGGATGTACATTATCATTTATCTTTCAAAATTCACAACTTGTGTGCATCATTACTCATCTGAGCAATTCCAAGTCTCAAATTTCTGAAATGTTCACCCACTCCCAGCCCCCATTTTTAGTGTTTAATCCACCAATTTTCTTTCAAAAGTGACAATATTATTTTGTGCATTTAAAATCACAGGGGGAATCCCCAACCCATAGCCCACCCATGTGTACTCACAATTTTCCGTCAAAAGCAGATACCACTTTGTGAATCATATAACGTATTTAGGGATTTGGAAAATCGCCAGTTTCTCTTTGCCCCCCACCCCCTCCCCCACCCAATCCCGCCAGTGTTTGGAACAACCGTGATGACGCAAATGTTTGTTCCGCCCGCACTCACCGAATCTCTTGTGCCGACTCTGTTAGATGGTGATAATGATAACACATCTTCATAGACAGGGTTAAGGAACGAAAAAAAAGTTTATTTAAAACATTGATAAATTGGATTAATTTGATTTATCGTAATCTTTAAAATGCACACCCAGTTGTCAGAGAATATATTATAGTTCAATATAGTTTGATATGATCTCATGTTTACAGTTTTATATAGCACTGATACAAATAGGTACCGCCTCTGTATGTTTAACCCAAAAGAGAGGGAAATTTGTTCAGGCGATTTGTTTCTAAATGAGGCATTAGATTCCTTATTTCGCTTAGGCTACAGTAATCATACCATCAAACTTTTGCAACCCAAATTATCTTGAGATCGTGTTCATCAACTGATGTTATTTTCTGTCCCCGCCTCTTGCACCTCCGGAAAAATTCTAGATTTATTCTCAACTTCATTTCTAGAGAAACTAAATATTCTTCCCTTTTTTGCATATTTCATGCCTTTTTCCTAACATATCACTCCCCTCATTGCCCCCCTCTCCTCCCTCTAACTCTCTGTCATGTGCATTTTTTGTTTCCGACACCCCCCCCTCTCACTCTACCCTCTATATCTCTGCTCCCCAGTATACCTGCCCCCTTATATGGCCCTCTCCCTCTTCCTCTCTCACTTCAAACTCATTCCACCCTACTTTTGACCTTAAAATAGCTACCTTCCTTTTTCTTGAACTTGTACCCTTGCCAGCGTTGCTGGCCTTTCCATTCCATTTTTGGAAATCGGTTAGGCATTTCTCGTGATCCTGAACAGGATGGCTGACTGCCTTGATATAATCAATATAGACGGGTAAAACAGGGGCTCCTATAATCGTTCGTAATACCTTTACCCGACCCTTTCCTTAATGAGATCGGAACCGTCTCTTCCTTTTCATTTTTCCCTTCCTCCTACTGTTTTGATCCCGCTTCCTTTCTAACATTCACCATTGACACAACCCCATGCTCATACTCTAAAAATTGCACATTGATCATTTTCCGACCTACATTCTGCATTTATGAATATGCAAATAAGCCTTAAAGCCCATCTGTACTAGTTTAGCTAGGAGGGATTAGACCACCCAGGAAGGTCACTAACAGGTGGCTATCTCATCAACTCAGCTCTCAATTAACATAAGAAAAAGAGGATCATGGGGGACCAATGGTCACCGATTAGGCATTTTCTATAAGAGGGAGCAAGTAGCTACAAGTAGCATAGTGGGCCTTTAAAAACGATCGCAAACAGTGGCAAAGACTTTCAAAAAAATCGACCCAGTGCAAAATTTGATAACTTTGTGCGTCTCCTCAATAAACGTACGGGCAATGCAATGACCAAGTAACGTCATCCGAATGTAGTTTCTTTGTGCAATACGATAGGGTATTGAAAGTTAATTTAATTTACAGTAATTAGGTACAACATAAAAAATTATTTTAGATCATGTTCTCCTACCTGTCTTATAATTTCACTACCAGGGGGGGGTGATCGGACTCTTCTTTAAACCGTTAAACATGCAGATGTGAATATCGTATTCCTTTGATGACGTATATACACCTGAATGGATTATGACATTTAGCTCTTGAAGGTGTCAGCGTTCCCAAGAAAACAAGGTGTCCGCTCTCCCTATAGATAAAAAACGAAATTTCCTTTGACGTAAGAAGTGCTTGGCACCGACATGGATGCATTTCAAAGAGTCGTTATCAAGTGCTAAACAAAATCCCTTGGGTTGTGATAGTGCTTGACTAACATCTCAAGACGGTACACATTTAGTCTTATAGAAACCGATGACTATAAGAGCATGGTTGTTTTAAAGCTGTTTCCGTTAACCGGATGAAACTCACCGTTCGTTCAAATCAACTTGTAAATAAACTCAACACGAATACCCGAGAAGTAATAAGTCTCAAATCAGACATAATTATACCAGTGACTTTCATCATGGACCAACTACGATTATTGGTGTAGTGACGTATCCAGAGACTGTTAAACAAGGGAAATTAAATCATCTCTGCATTGCATGGATGAAACATAATGGGGTTCAGCATTAGGTAACATTCATTTTAATGCTCTTCTACATATATATAATATATATAGGTACAGCTGTAGCTTAATCATTTAATAGTTTTACTTTAGAAAAACGCAAACAATATTCTCCCCCCCCCCCCCCCCCCATTTAACAATACAAGGTAGATGGATGTAATAGGGCAAAGTACTACTAGTACCCTGGCTCTAGCCAACCTACCCTAAGACGGTGAAAGCATTTAAGGAATTGCTTCCTTCTATAATAACATTACCTACTCTTAACCAAGAATGTACGTGCGTGTTGGCAAATGTAGATTAATATTTTTACCGAAATAGTTCTGCGGCAGGGACTTGAATAGCGAACCAAGCGAACCACAGTCAGGCGTAATTACTAGAGACCACAACACCCCCCCCCCCCCCCCCCCCTGGCAGATAAAT